CCATTGGAACACATCCTCACTGACCATCTGATTTGACTTGTGAAAAAGGAGGAGAAACGGGAGGTGGGGGAGGGAATAGGAGAGGGAGAAGTAGAAGAAGGAGAAGGAATAGAAAGACTTGGAACTCTACAACTTCAATTTAAAGTGCTACATACATGATCAAACCCGGGAGGACCAAAGCAGGAAGATAGTCTGTGTCCCAATTTACCTCAGTACCAACTTCTGTACAATGAATCCATCTTTCTGCCTAGACCCGTGGACTCCTGGAAAGTGTTCTATGACCTATTGACAGAGGAAGGAAAGCTGTGGCCTGGCTCCCCGATGATTTTCATGGTATCGAGGGCCAACCAGAGAGGGGCCGCTGCAGCAGGACAGCCCATGTCTGGACGTCTGTGAAGGACAGTGGGTCACAAAGCCCTCACAATGGGCAGCGGTGGGGCGGTCACCTCCTCACTCACTGTGCGTGGCTGACAATGCCCAGCTGTGGAAGGAGATGCTGACTCAGGGCTCTGCCTCGGATTTGCAGCATCAGGTAGAGGCACTAAGAAAGCCTGACTAGGAGATTCCTCACAAGCTCTTTGGGCAGACGTTCGTTGGACGTTCTCGCTCAGTGGTCACAAATATTCAAAGATGTTTGCGTCTCATGTAATGCTCACCAGAGTGAAGCCTCAAAGTGGGAGATTTCATTAGTCAAAAGGATAAAGTGGCACGTTCTATATTTTCCCTCCGCAGTGGGATGTGAAAGCACAAACAAAAGAAACAAACAAACAAAGTCTCCTATACACATGGAATCATGTGTTTACCGCAGGGGAAGCAGGAGGGAGGGCCAGGTGAATAATGGGGGCTCAAAGGCAAGAGGGCAGAGAGACAGACATTGGTGGCGAGCACACAGCTGAGTGTGCTATGTTGTACCATGAAGTTGTACAAGTGAAGGTTTTTAATGTGATTAACTAATTACCCCCAAAACAGTAACCATGAAATACTTTTTAAGTATTTAATGTTCAAGAAATGAAGAGATGCTTTTCTGTGTTTGAATAATAAGAACATGTATTTGTTTACCTATCATTTGTTCAATAAAAACCAGGCGAATAACCTGTTGCGGCTGGGCAGTAGCAATTGTCTGAGAGCATTAACCCTCAGACAATTAGTGAGCAATGGAGTCTTGAAAAGGAAAGGAAGTCAATGGTTAAGTGTTACAAAACCCGGTTTTGATTCCTGGGCCCTGCCAAGCAAGGCAAGAGCTAGACACTGGGCTATAGCGTCCCTGGATGGAGGCGTGAGGACTGCGGCGGGAACCAGCGGGTTCCTGCATCCAGTTCCCGTCTCTGGTGATGACACGCAATCTGAAACAGCTCTGAGTGGCCCCCAGCAGCACACACAAACATGCTCCCTCTCATCACTTTACCGCCTGCTGAGCTCATGTCCAGGGCTCCCGATGTTGCCTGAGGAGCTTCAGGGCACCAATAGTTTATCTCTATGCTTCCAGCCAGATGTGGGGAAAATCGGAAAGTTTCCTGAGGGGAACGTTCAGGAAACGCCTGAGTAATCCACAACAGCCGACAGGGATGGTTCCCTAGTTTATAGGTAGCACACCTTCAGCTTGGAGAGATTCAGGACATGAATAGGTATATCTCACAATGGCTTCAAGCCATATGCGAGGAAAAACGGGATGGATCATGGGAGGGCTGTAACCGGTATGGGATGAAACTGGGATAATTCAGAGTTTGTCAGAGACTGGAGAAATGTGCAAGAGGAAGCACCAAGAGTAATGAAGGCAGCGACCTCTCCTGTGGCAGCGGCCACCTTGACTAGACTCAAACCCCAGCAGGGAACTGAGGTGAAGGGAAGGTTTGACCTTGAGGTGGGGTGCTACTCTGTGGAAGAACTATGTGAGTGCTGAAACTTACCCAGGCAGAAAAGTATGCAATCTGTGTGGAAATAATTAACGGTCGAGGACATGTTCAAGGAAACATAAGTTTGGACATGAGGGAACCTATTAATTTGGGCCCACAGGAAGAGCCTGCATTTACATCTGCAGTGTGGGTCATTTCACAAGGCCCACAAGTTGATTGGGATGGTTGGCAGACTACTGCATCCAAGGATGGCCCAAGGGGGCGGCATGGAAGTGCCCACTGTCTCTTTTCAGTAAAGAAGCAGTTCAGCAGTGTAGGGAGGAGGGACTGTTGGAGTGTATTGATCATTTGAGCCCTATGGCACGTGGGAGTGCCCACATGGCATACCTTTCACCAATACGTTGGGAACTATATTGATGACTGGAAACAGCATATTTGAAGAGCTGCATGAAGACTCTTCTATGAAAACCAGACCTTGGGAACTGCACCCTCTCAATGGGAAAGTCCAAATGTGACGAGAGACATTGAACCCCAGGGGAAGGGGCACTGGGCCCTGTCCAGTCACTGAACTCACGGTGGATCTGATCAGCCTGAAATACAGCAAATCCAAGCAGGATCTAGTGAGTCTGTCGGCACTGATGTACAGTGTTGGCTAAAGAGTCATGTGTTCCTAGCGGTGGGGAGAGGAAGCTCACGGCATTGTTGCTCCATCTAGTGAAGCAGAAATGTCCCCGTGAGTCCCAGGGCCCAGCAGCCTAGGCCCTGTGCTTATTTCTCTCAGGTTCTCAGGGATGTCTTGCTGCCTACTACAGGTCAATTTATGAAAGATTCACTCAATTTTCCACAGAAAAGATTCATTCTAACAGCTTCTATTAAATAGCTATTTGCTTACACAGAGTCTATGGCTGCTGTCAAACTATGAGGAGAGGCTTGGAGTTTCTGCAGAGACCAACAGCCATCGAGTCTCTGGCTGTTACAGAAACAGCTTGCAGACCTCTGCTCTAGGGTCTTGGACTCCATTTTCTTAAAAAAAAAGTACATTTTCATTGATTTTAGAAAGGAATGGAAAGGGAGAGATAGAAACATCAATGATGAGAGAGAATCATGGATCGGCTGTCTCCTGCATGCCCCCTACTGGGGATTGAGCCCACAACCCAGCATGTGACCTTGACCAGAATCAAACCCAGGACCCCTCCATGAATTGAGCCAAACCAGCTAGGGCTTGGACTCCATTTCTAGTCTTTGCCGAGCAGGTTAAGAGTTTTGGAGGTCAATTTCCCTAAGGACAATCTTTTCCAAGTTAGTTAGGCAATATTGAGACTTCCCAGATAATAGGAACACTGGACCATCTGTAAATGCTTTTATGCTTCTGTGTGAAGTTGGGATACACTCCAATGAAACCAGTCCACGGCCTTTGCTGCTCGGCTGCAGTGGATGGGCTGCAATGAGTGTGTTCCCTGCAGGCCAGCCTGGTGCTCAGTGTAACTAATTGTAAGTTGCCAATGCGAACACACAAACAAAGCCTGGGACGTGTCGATGTGCAGCATGACATCGCCTGGGAGCCCCGCCTAGCCCCAAAGCCACTGAGCTAATTCTTGGGGCCTCAGAGGGCAAAACCTAGCCCCGTAGAGCCTTCCCCAGCCCCAAAGAGCAGAGGGCAGCATTGAGGAGCCCAGCTCCTCGTTCAGAGATGCCTAGTGAGGCCCCCAGCGGGCCCTGGTCCTCTCTCTCAGAGAGTTCAACGGCGGCCCAGGACCCAGGCAGCCTGTCTTGGAGCCCAAACAATGCCCTGCAGCCCAAAACATGTCAATGATGTGAAACGCACACTCTGGTGTCTACAAATACTGCTTTATGGGAATACAGCCACACCTATTTGCTCACATATTGTCTATGACGCTGCGTCTAAGAGAAGAGATTGGAGTTTAAATACACACCTTAAGCCATTGCCTCTGGCTGTTACAAAGTCTGCAGATGTGATCTTGGATCCTGGAATAACTCGATAGTCTTTGCATGTCTGGCTCAGGTCTCTGGAGAGGTCTCTTTCACTAAAGACCGTCTTTTCCACGCTGAAGGCCATTCCCGGTTAGGGGAACGCTCTGCGGCACCTGCAGACATGCCTTGTTCTCTGCGTGAAGCTGGCGCACACTCAGATGAGGCCCGGCTACGGCAGCAGCTGCTCTCTGACAGACTCCAATGGAACTCAGCAGCAGTGGGGTCTTGGGATGAGTGTCAGCTCCCTGCAGGCCAATCCTGTGCTCTGAGCCTTGAGACTCACTGCCAGTTGCCATCAGAACGGTGCCTGGTGGAGTGTGAAGATCAGGAGGCTCAGCTGCAGGCCGCCTGGCCCGCTGGGGGGTGTAGTTCGAGGGTGGTGGGCCCTAGCTCAGGCCGTTGCCGGCTTGCCTAACCTCCCAGGGAGGTCTCTGCTCCCTGGGGTGACACACCCAGGCTGTCCCCCTGCTGGAGGTGCAGGGCATTGAGGTACCAGCTAGATCTCTGCTCAGAAGGGACCAGTGGTGGCCGAGTGCAACCGGGCTCTTGCCAGTAACAGGGAATCGGACAGGGTGACCGGGCTGAGCTGGAGCACCTGCGGGAGAACTGCTCCTGGGGAATCGCTGAGCCAACCACAGCTGAAGAGATGCATGTGCAGTGCGCCAGGGGAAGGGGCAGTGCGGGGCCTGCCCTCCGGCTCTGCACAACTGGCCAGGGAGGAGATGGGGTGGGTGCATGAGGTCTGGGAGGGACGCTGAGGCCATGCTCCCTGACCAGCTGCAGGACAGCTTCCTGCTGCAGGGCATGGGCCAGGCCCTCGCACAGGCTGCTTCCAGCAGCGTCTGCACCCGCACAGAAAGGAGCCCTCACTGCATGGTCCTGCTTACTGGTTCTTTTTGCTGTTTCTCTTTCTGTGAACCTTGACCTTGCTCAGACCAAAGGTACTTCCGGCCCCTGCTGGGGGCAGGTGGGCTGGGGGTGTTCCTGGGCGCAGAGCTCTGCCTCAGCTCCTCCTGGCCCTTTCCCACCACCTACAGTTCTTCCCAGAAAGCCTCTCGAGCAGTTTGCAGACTGCATCAAGCGGGGCTTGCTCTACATTACGGAGCTTGGTGCTCTGGTTCCATTACCCCTGCCCCCACAGCCCTGGCTCATGTACCACTCCATCATCTGTGTCCTGGGCATCCCGCCACCATTGTGGCAAAGTGGGTCCCCGCTAAACACCTGCGGACAAGGTCAGGGGTGTCCCTGGTCCCTGGCTGGTGTAGTGTTGTGTCCACCACGCCCTTGACTCTCTCCAGGGGCTGTGTCAAGGCCACACGCGGGCAGCTGGGCCGGCTCTTCCTCATGGCTGGGCTGTGCAGCCCCAGAGCTGGCCGCCAGGCTGCTCCAGTTACAGAGCGCTCGGTCCTATTAAGTTGACACATGGAACCAGTCACATCGGGTAATTAGTGTCATGGTGGTGGCAGCAGCCTTTGTCCACTTCTACGGGGTTCCCCACCTTCAGGTCGCCCACTAAAGCCTGGAGGCGGGCTGTACTGATGACTCACATATCTGCGCCTCCTTTCTGAAGCTGGAAGGGAAGCTCCCCAAGTGCCTTAACGGTAACTTCTTACCTGAGGTGAGAGGAAGCATCTGAGGGGTCTGTTTCTAGAAGAACCTCTTAGAGAACCCGGGGCCCGCCAGGCTCCTGCCCAGCTTTCCGCTGCGGCCTGTGGAGAAACTGCCCGTGTCCCCTGCTGCCCCTCCTCAGCCGGCAACGCCATCCCCTGGGCACAGACGCCTTCGGGGCTCATGTTGGGATTTTACTCTCCTCCAGCCGTTTCTGGGGAAAATAATGGGCTGGGCCTTTTTGGACATTCTGTTTCTGGAGCAAAATGTCCCTCATACCCCCGTCCTTCCTGGGTGACCCGGCTTAGAACAGGACACCCATTCGTGGCAGTTTTCAGAGATGATTGTAAACTCGTCTGTTTCTGGGGCTGGATCTGCTGATGGCAGGAAGCACGGAGTCCCCAGCTCCGAGGCAGCCGGCTAGTCATGGAGGTGTGTCCGGGCCTCAGATACCTTGAGTTTTCATATTTGTCCTTGGGAGAGTGATGTAAGGTTACAATGGGGAAAGATATTCAATCTTCAATACTAGGTTTTAAAAAGAAAACTGCTGTGTTGATATGTACCTAGAGGCAAAGATTATGGTGAAACTGAAAGGAAATACAGAGACAATTAGCATTCAAAGAAGAAAAAGAACAATGCCTGTGACTTGTCAATGTCAGCGTGACACGGTGAAAGACGATGCTAGCCTCAGAGTCCGGCCTAGCGTCAGCACCTCGGAGCCGAAGCTCCCGCACAGAGAGCCCGCCTGGCCCCACATAGCGGGGCCCATCACCAAAGGGCTGCGCCTTGCTCAGGGAGAGCAAGCCCTAGGCCCTGGCCTCTCTCTCAGTGAGGCTCTGCCCTGATATCACTCCCTGGCCTTTCTCTCCGAAAGTCCTAGCCAGGCACAGGGCCCCAGCACCCTTGGCCCTGGGGCCTCTCTTAAAACATTCGAGAACTTGAAGAAGCTACCCTAGAGGACAAGCCCCATAGGGACCCCGGCTCCCTAGTGGACTGGAGGGGCCAGATTTCCAGTCTCTGGCTGAGGTCCACTTGGGCAGCAGTGGTGGCTTGCGTCCCCTCCTTAGGCCTAAGCAGTCCTAGCCTTGAGGGGCAGATAGTGAGGGTAAGGGGCTGTCCTCACGCTGAGGATGGCCTGTGACTTATCCACAAAGGGCTCTCTGGGTTTCAGAAAAGTAGTGCTTAACCATGGGCCACTGTTACCAGGCAACCTGGCTGTCCACTGTGACCTGGGTGAGAGGTCACTCACGGAGCCTAAAGAGGCCACACACAGGAGACCACATGAAGGTGGAATGGTTCACACATGACAGGATCTCGGAGGATCAGAGCCGTGAGATAAGAGCTGGCCCTCCTGCCAGACAACCAATCCCTCTTTCAGCCTAGACTTGTGGGCGCATGGAAGGCTCCCTATGACCTGCTGACAGAGGAAGCAAAGTCGTGGCCTGGCTTACCGGTGACTCTGCATGATGTCAATATCCAACAGGAAACTGGACGGCTGCGCTACAAAGGACCATTCGGGATGTTTGTGAAGGACAGTGGGTAATGAACCCATCACGATGGGCAGAGATTGGGCCGTTCACCTCCTCATTCACCTTGAAGATCTCCTACCTGCAGACTTTTTCCATGGCGGTCACCGTAGGGGAAAAAGCATGAGTGAGGATACGATGGCAAAGGAGTTCCAATACAAGGATGCTATCCTGTGAGTGTTGAGCACAAACTGGAGTGTGCTATGTTGCATTGTGAAGTTGTACAAGTTAATATAATGTCATTAACTACATGATCCCCCAATATTTAATAATGGGATAATTTTAAAAGAATCTTTGTCAGTCTTCCTCTTGTTTTTGAAAGTAAGAGACATTCCTCTGTTTTCGAATAATGCCAGCATAGTTTTGTTTACTTGCCTCTGTTCATTAAGGATCATGGAAAGCCTCTGTTAAGATTGAGCAGTAGCAGGTGTGCTTAGGGCGTCAGCCATCAGACAGTTATTGAGGAAGATGGCTAGGAAAATAAAAGACAATCATTAAGAGAAAACAAACACCAAGTTCTATTCCAGAGTCCATTCAAGACAATCTCTAAATATTGGGCTACAGCATCACTAAACAGAGGAGTGAGGATCGCTGTGGCAATCTAATGTGTTTTTAGTTTGTAGTTTCCATGTCTCTGGTGATGACATAGATGTTCAGAAAAATTTCTGAGTGGTCCGCAACAGCAGACATGGATGTTTTCCTTGATTTATATCCAAGACACCAGATTCAGCTTGAAAATATTCAGGACATGAGAAGATTCATTTTCTCAATGGTTCCAAGCCAAAGATGTGAGAAAACTGGGAAGGTTCATGGTAGAGTTATAACCTACATGGCTATAACCTAATTGGAATAATTCAGAATTGTTCATGGACTGGGAAAATGTGCAAGAGGAAACACACAAGGACGATAACGGCAGTGAGCTCTCCTGCAGCAGCTGCCACCTCGACTAGACACAAATCCCAGCAGGACACTAAAGGTGAGGGGCAGAGTGCGAACCTTGAGGAAGTGTGCTACCCTTTACAAGAGCCATGTGAATTCTGTGATTTACAGAAGCAGGGAAACATGGATTATGTACGGAAATAATTAATGGTGGGGGGACAATGTTCAAAGAAATATACATTGTGATGAAAGGGAATTTAATAGTTTGGGGCGACAAGACAGAGACTGTGCATTTATATCTGCAGCTTGGGTCATTATCAAAGTCGTATAAAGTTTATTGAGATGGTGAGCTGAAAAAGACATCCAAAGATGGACCAAAAATTGTAACATGGAAATGCCCACTGATTCCTGCTCTAATATAGAAGAAGGAATGCTTTGGTTAGCCCATTGGCTGATAGCACCTTTTCAAAAAGTTTTATCCGAGTAACTATCTCTTTGGGGGAAACAATGAACTAGATAATTCAGCGACCACAGGAAAATGGTTATGAACAGAAATTGGTCTCAGAATCCAAAATAATACTATAGCCCTCACTAAGACTAGGAGCTTTTGAGGGTCAGGTGACCAGTGAATTTTTGCTCAGGTCCATTTTGAAATAGGTCCAAATTTGATCTCACCCATTCTGTGGTTGCTCCTGGTTGTAAAATGCATAACTGAAATACTATACCAGAGGAATTATCCCACACACTCATCACCGATGAGTCAAGGCAACTGTGGAGAGAAAGTCTAAACCAATCCATAAGAACTGCCTGTAACTGTGCAAGTATTAAGTTAGAAGCTGTACCATCTGCCTGATGAATAGGAGAGATTTGTGCCAACATGAAGGATTTGAAAGATTCAGGAGTGCGAATTTGGGCACATTCTCATTACGCTTTTGGTTTGTTTTGAGAGAAAGAAGGAGGAAGAGAAGGAGGAGGAGATTGGACAGGAACCAGAAAGAGAGGAGGAAAAGATGGAGAGAGTAGAGGAGGAAAGAAAGTGTAGAAGAAATAGAAAGAATAAGAAAAGGATGAGAAGCAAGAGGAGGAGGAGTAGGAGATGGAGAAGAAAGAGAGAGAGGAGAAGACACAACTTGGAAAGTGGCAGTGTACTCACCGATTCTTTAACTACAGGAGACCCTATGCTGCTGTTGTACCATGTGGTTACTTTGCTTGAGCAACTTCAAAGCCCACATCACCTTGTTCCATATGCACCTACAGTACAGGCAAATGCCTCCTCCTCGTGTTCCCATAGTTCAATCCAATTTGCCTTCTCTCAGGTGGCAAGGCCCCCACACACCTTCATTATCTTCCCTCAGGGATGAGTCATCTCTACAGGCTGAAGGTCCTCACTGCCCTTTTCTTCCACAGGAAATACTTCTTGCTGGTCAGTTACAATGATGACGTTATCCAGAATGGGCCAAGTGAGTGGGACAATTCTACTCTAGAGTTGATACACTTTTAGAGTCAGTAGCTGAGGAAGAAATCTGACTGAAATTCAGAATTCTTACTCAGTGAAATATGTTTGTGTCCAGTGCTCTTCTGTGGGGCAGGCAGGTGTCTGAGGTAAATAATGATTGTTGGCATCTGGCCCCTGCTACCAAGATGGAGAACCAGCGCCCAGGGAGCCTCTGGATTTTAGAGGCAGATTACTCCTCAGTTGGGTATATGACTCCATGGAGTGACCTGAAAGTTTGCTTCTTTTGAATTCAACTCGGAAAAAGACAGGCACTGTCACAGGTGCAGGCTGCTGCGTGTCCCCCTCCATGCACCGCAGCAGACGTGATGCTCCTACCAGTGTCCCCGACAGATGGGGATTGTGGTTGGGACCTTGGGAAGGCTGGTGTGTGAGTCACAGTGCAGGTGTTCAGGATTCCCCACCCATGAGCATATCCTTGTTTACTTACCTTTGGTTCACTCAGCAGGTGTGCTGCAGGGTGTTAGCCACCAGACAGTTAATGAGGACTGGTGTCTATGAAAAGAAGAAAACTAAGAGTTACGAAGCCAATTTCTAACTACAGAGTCCGCCAAACAAGGCAGTTCATGAATACTGGGTGACAGCATCACTAGATGGAGGAGTGAGGACCGCTGTGCCAATCCAATGGCTCTCCTGGCTTCCATTGTGAATGTCTGTGGTGATGACATAGACCATCTGACAAATTTCTGAGTTGTCCACAGCAGCACACATGGATTGTTTACATGACTTATAGCTAAGACTCAGATTCAGCACAAAGAGCTTCAGGACATGAGTATATATTTGGATCAATGATTCCAAACCAGAAGCGAGAAAAATTGGAAAGGTTCATGGTAGAAAGCTGGCAAATCTGATCATCAGGGTTCCCTGGGTTGCTGAGAGCTGGGGAAGAGGTAACTAGGGGCCAAGCTGCATAGGTGTCCTGGCTCCCCACAGACCTGTGGGCGGCAATGGCTCCAGCCTCTGGCTGAGTCCATCAGGGCATCGCTGGTGGCTTCCATCCCATTAGTCAAAAGTTGTCCTAGCCAGTGCTCGCTTCGGCAGCACATATACTAAAATTGGAACGATACAGAGAAGATTAACATGGCCCCTGAACAAGGATGACACGCAAATTCGTGAAGCGTTCCATATTTAAAAAAAAAAAGTTTTCCTAGCCAGAGGGGCAAACATTCTGGGTGAGGGGCAGTCATCACCCTGTGGATGGACAGAGATTTGTCCCACAGGATTTCCTGGGTTACAAAGAACAAATCTTAAACATGGGCCACCAAGTTACCGTGCAACCTGAGCTGTCCATTATGACTCGGGTGTGATGTCACTCACAGAGTCATTAAGGGCCCTGCACGGAAGACTACATCAATGAGTGTGGGCCATACCTGATCCTACCTGGCCTGATCAAAGTAGTTATATGAGGTGACGCCTTGGACCCTACGGTCAAACAAGGAGTCCCTGTCTCTACCTAGACCTGTTCACTCATGAAAAGCTCCCTGTGGCCTGTTGACATTGAAGCCGTCATGGCCTGTCCTCCTGATGGATTTGTATGATGTTGATAAGCAATGTTATTTCCTTCTGGAATAATATGAGTACATTTCTCCGTACTTACCTTTTCCTCACTAATATCAGTGTGAGCTTCTGTTAGGACTGGGCAGTAGCAGGTACGCTGTAGGGCCTTAGGCATCAGTTCATGAGGAATTGTATCTATAAAAAGAAAAGAAAATCATTCATTCAGTGTTAAAAAACAAGTTCTAATCCAGATTCTGCTCAAGACGGTAAATATTGGGCTACAGCATGTAACACTAAGTGGAGGAGTGGGGGCTGTGGTGGCAATCCAGTGGGGTTTCTGAGTTCTCTTTCCATGTCTGGGGTGATGACACAGACATTCTGAAAGTTTTCTGAGTGCTCCAGAACAGTGGACATGGATGGCTTACTTGATTTGTATCCAAGAGATCTAATTCAGCATGAGGAGATCAATTTTGTCCCAGGTTTCAAGCCAGATGTGAGAAAAACTGGAATGGATCATGGTAGTGTTATAACCCACACAGGAGGAAGGTAGAATAATTCAGAATTTGCCAGGGAACAGAAAATGTTCAAGAGGAAGCACACCAGAGTAACAAAGACAGTGAGCTCTTCTGCGACAGTTGCTACCTTGATTAGACTCAAATCCCAGCAGGACCCTAAAGGTGAGGGGAGAGTTTGGCTTCTGAGGTGGTGTGCTACTCTATGTGACATGTAAATGCCCACTCTCCCTTGTTTTAAATTATGAAGAAGCAGTTCAAAAGTTTATGGTGGTGGTAATGTTAGAGTTGATTGGTAATGTGAGTCCTATTGCCCATCTGGGAGTGCCCACATGGCATACCTTTCACCAATGCATGGGGAACTATATCGATGACTGGAAACAGCATATTTGAAGAGCTGCATGAAGACTCTTCTATGAAAACCAGACCTTGGGAACTGCACCCTCTCAATGGGAAAGTCCAAATGTGACGAGAGACATTGAACCCCAGAGGCAGGGGCACTGGGCCCTGTCCAGTCACTGAACTCACGGTGGATCTGATCAGCCTGAAATACAGCAAATCCAAGCAGGATCTAGTGAGTCTGTCGGCACTGATGTACAGTGTTGGCTAAAGAGTCATGTGTTCCTAGCGGTGGGGAGAGGAAGCTCACGGCATTGTTGCTCCATCTAGTGAAGCAGAAATGTCCCCGTGAGTCCCAGGGCCCAGCAGCCTAGGCCCTGTGCCTAATTCTCTGATATTCAAGGGAAGCCTTATTGCCTAATACAGGTCAATTATATAAAAATCAAACTTTATTGTTCACAGAAAATATCTATTCTAATAGAGCCACAGCTACTTATTTACATAGAGTCAATGACTGATATCTAATAATGAGGAGAGGCTTGGAGTTTCTGCAGAAACCGTAAGCCATTGAGTCTCTGGCTGTTACAGAAACAGCTCGCTGACCTCTGACCTAGGATTCCCTTTATAATCATTAAACAGTTGGTTAAGAAATTTAGAGAGGTCTTTTTCCCTAAAGACAAAAATTTCCATGCTTATTATTCACTAATGGCCCAGTGCACAAATTCATGCACATGGAAAGGAAATGAAGTAGAAGAAATATTTTAATATTGCAATTTGCCTTTTATAATAGAAGTGTGAACCAAATTCATGATCAACAATGACAGATGGAAACACGTGTGTGATTGGTGCCAGTTAGAGTTGTATATGTATCACACATGTGTGAGTCAACTTAGCCTTTTATATATAGACTAGGGGCCCAGTGCATGAAGATTCGTGCACGGTGGTGTGGGGGGGGTCCCTCAGCCCAGTGGTTGGCAAACTCATTAGTCAACAGAGCCAAATATCAACAGTACAACGATTGAAATTTCTTTTGAGAGCGAAATTTTTTAAACCTAAACTAAATAGGTAGGTACATTGTTATTAACTTAAAATTAGGGTACTCCTAAGCTGGCCTTTGCTAAAAATGTCCTCAACCTGATTGAGGTACATTCGCTGAGGTTGACCCCTTACAACTCTCCCATCCACACTCATCTTGTATACTTGTTTCATCTATCTTTTGTCACCAGCGCAAGATTTGCGGATGCGACTAGCACTAACCACTGCACAATGAGACTGCTGACTGACTGGCTCACTCAACTCCTGCATGAATCATGTGTGCTTCCCCTGCGCTGCATATCCCACAGCCCACCTGCACCGTGTCTCCCGTCGCCCGACCAACCGACACCCCCCACTTCTTCTAATGCCACTTCTTCAAAATAGACTCGCCCAGGCCAAACAACGACTTCTGCGCATGGGCCACGAAGTTTCAATCGCACTGTATGTGCGCACCCGCACATGGTATTTTGTGGAAGAGCCACCCTCAAGGGGCCAAAGAGCCGCATGTGGCTCTCGAGCCACGGTTAGCCAACCACTGCCTCAGCCCGACCTGCACCCTCTCCAATCTGGGAGCCCTCAGGGGAGCCCTCTCCAATCCCGGAGTTTCTGTCTGTCTTTGCAATCATATGAAGGAATTGTCTGAGACCTCCAACCCAGTTTGGTTTGTTGCGCACAGAATAACTGAGGCATTTTTTTCTTTGCTTCATTGGTGGAGATTTCCTGGAAGTTTTAGGATATCTTCCCTTTAATTTCTCCTAGACAATCTGACTTTACTTATGTCTTCACCTTTGCTTTCTCTCCATCCCCTACCGCAACAGTAACTTGCTCCAGGCTCACTTTGCTCTAGTCTAGTGTCTAGGAGATCTGTCTGCCACCAGAACTATGGTTCCCAGCATTCCTGGTGCTCCCCGCGCTCTGGGCTTCTGCTTCTGGTCCTGGGGCTGCCATCAGAACTATTCCCAGAATTCCTAGTGCTTCCCGCTCTGGGAGTGACCGAGGGAGCCACAGCCCCCCAAGCCTCCAGCTCTCCTGCTCTGCTTTCCGCCCAGCGACCACGGGAGCCACGTCCCCACACAGGAGCAACCGAGGGCACCACGTCCCCCCAAGCTGCTGGCTCTCCCACTTCTGCCCTCTGCCAGTGTATGCAAATTAACCACCATCTTTGTCGGAATAATTTGCATATTCACCCTGATTGGCTGTTGAGCATAGCAAAGGGACAGTCAATTTATATGTTTCTCTTTTATTATATAGGATACTAGGGGCCCAGTGCCCTCAGCCCTGGACTGCACTCTCTCCAATCTGGGACCCCTCACCTCGAAGGATGTCCTACTGCCGGTTTACAGGGATCAGGCCTAAACTGGCAGTCGGACATCCCTCTCACAATCTGGGACTGCTGGCTCCTAACCACTCACCTGCCTGCCTGCCTGCCAGCCTGCTCGCCCTCAACTGCTCCCCGCCGCCGGCCTGCTTGCCCCTAAGTGACCCCCCACCAGTCTGATCACCCCCAATTGCCCCCCCTGCCAGCCTGATCACCCCCACCTTCCCTCCCCACTGGCCTGCTCGCCCCCAACTGACCCCCTGCTGGCCTACTCACTCCAAATTGCCCCCCCCGCTGTCCTGATCACTTCCAACTGACCCCCACTGATGGCCTGCTCGCCCCCAACTGGCCCCCCTGCTGGTCTGCTTACCCCCAATGGCCCTGTCCCCCATCAGCCTGATCACAAAAAACTGCCATCCCATCCTGGCCTAATCACAACTGCCCTCCCCTCTTGGCCTCTAACCGCCTCTACCTCAGCCCCGCCACCATGGCTTTGTCCAGAACAACGTCTGGAAGGTCTCCTGGAAGGTCTCCCAGTCTAATTAGCATATTACCCTTTTATTAGTATAGAGGCCTGGTACATGGGTAGGGGTCCTGCTGGGGTGCCTGGCCAGCCTGGGTGAAGGTCTGCAGGCCTTTTTCAGGCTCACCACACCTCCTTCAGTGTGGGGGTCCCCACTGGGGTGCCTGGCCAGCCTGGGTGAGGGACTGATGGCTTTTTGCAGGCTGGCCAAGTCCCCCAGTGGGGACCCAAGCTCCTAGCCTCTCCTTTTTTTCTTTCAGCGCCTCCTTGAGTGGAGGCCAGGACGGGCTGGAAGCAGGTATCTGGGATTTATTTATCTTCTATAATTGAAACTTTGTAGCCTTTAGCGGAGCCCAGGGACGACCAGGACAGGCAGAAAGCTTGGCTTCCTCCATCGCCAGGCCAACCCAAGCCTCCTGCTGCTCCAGCTCCGTGGCCGCTTCCATCTTAGTTGGGTTAATTTGCATACTCATTCCTGATTGGCTGGTGGGTGTAGCAGAGTGATGGTTAATTTGCAAGTTTCTCTTTTATTAGTGTAGAGACTAGGGGCCCAGTGCACAAATTCGTGCACCTTGAAAGACTCTGCGGCCGAAACCGGTTTGGCTCAGTGGATAGAGCATTGGCCTGAGGACTGAAGGGTCCCGGGTTCGATTCCGGTCAAGGGCATGTACCTGGGTTGCGGGCACGTCCCCAGTGGGGGATGTGCAGGAGGCAGCTGATCGATGTTTCTCTCTCATCGATGTTTCTAGCTATCTCTCTCCCTTTCTCTCTGTAAAAAAATCAATAAAATATATTTTTTTTTAAAAAAAAGAAAGACTCTGTGAGTCATGAGGCTACGGTACACACAGGGGCGGGTCTCAGCCCATCCTCCACACCAAGGCCCCCTGTCCCCTGCCTGCCAGCAACCCTGCTCCCACTGCCACTGCTCCCATGAGCTGACGGCGCCGGCCCCACTTGTACCCCCTGAGGGCACAGAGTGATTGGGGTCAGTGCCAGCAGCAGGTGCAAGAGAGGCGGCGCTGTCAGCAGGTGTGAGCAGCAGCTGCTGTCCCAATCACCCCTCAGGAGCAGGGGTAGGTGGAGAAGCCCTCAGGGGCAATCAGAGCTGGCAGCTGCTGCTCACACCTGCTGATGGCGCCGAGCAATCGAGAGCGGCACCAGGTACCAGCAGCAGGTGCAAGTGGTGGCTCCGGCGCCAGGTGCTGGTGCAAGCGGGACTGGTGCTGGCAGTGGGTGCGAGTGGCAGCTCTGGCACCAGCAGCAGGTGAGAGCAGGGCCACTTCCGGCAGTGGGTGCGAGAGGTGGCTGCCTGCCCCGATCTTCCATCAGGAGCAGGGGGAGGTAGAGAAGCCGTCCAGTGTAATAGGGGCTGACAGCCAGCACTCACACTTGCTGACAATGCTGAGCGATCGGGGCCAATGCTGGGCATCAGCAGTAGGTGTGAGCAGTGGTTCCGGCACCGGCCGCAGATGCAAGTGGGCCGGTGCCAGCAGCAGGTGCAAATGCCGGGTGGGACTGTTTTTGTGCAAGAGAAAGAATTTTCAGTAACCACTACAGGCTCGCCCTGATGACAGTGACAGGCACCCTGACTTGGATTGGTGCCCCCACTCACCTGCTCTACCATCCTGCTGTGGCTGACACCCGCCGTGTTATGCGCACACCCCCTGATGGTCAGTGCACATCATTGCGACCAGTTGTTCGTTTGTTCTGCCATTCGGTCTATTTGCATATTAGCTTTTTATTATATAGGATACTAGAGGCCTGGTGTATGAATTTGTGCACTAGTGGGGTCCCTCTGCCTGGCCTGCAGGATCAGGTAGAAAAAAGCTCTCCGACATTCCCCAAGGAGTCCTGGATTGCAAGAGGGTGCAGGCCAGGCCGAGGGACCCCCACCAGTGCACCATTGGGGCCAGGGAGAGACACGGAAGGTTGGTCGGCTGTGGAGGAACCTCAGGAGGGCTCCAGGGTGTGTCTGGCCCATTTTGCTCAATCCCAATCGGATGGACCCCCAGCAGCAAGCTAACCTAACCTGCTGGTCAGTGCACATCATAGGGAGCAGTTGAGCAGCCTGAGCATATCATTAGCATATTAAGCTTTGATTGCTTGAACAGCCAACAGGTCAACCACACACAGCATATTAGGCCTTTGTCATATAGGACTAGAGGTCAGATGCACAAAATTCGTGCATGGGGGAGGGGTGTCCCTCAGCCCAGCCTGTGCCCTCTTGCACTCTGGGACCCCTTGGAGGATGCCTGCCTAAGCTGTCAGTTGGA